CATTAATTACATACTTTATTTCTACGATACTTCAGTTTTGTTTATAAAATTCTCTACAAAAACAATCGTCGTAATCGGTGAAAAATATTTACTTTTAATCGCCGAAATTTTACAATGTCGAATAATAATAAAAGTATCGAAAGCAAAGAAAAATCTTCCATTATCGTTAGAACTAAAAATAATTAATTTTTCCCGAACAGAAAGAAAACTAATATTGTTCGACGGATAATTTGTTTATATTTTCATTAAAAAAAAAAAAATGATATTCTCACTTCAAAGGAATAATTTACCATTTTTACTGTTTTGTTGTTGTACAGAGTACTGCGGATCGAGGAAAGCCAATGGGAAAAAACAAAGAGACCGGAAAATACGCCGGAGGGAGGGCTTATACGATTGGCGGTTTCAGGGAAGGGCTGCTATTGGTTACGGCCCAGTAACAATACATTTTCATGCACACTCACACAGGTGCGAACAATGGCGATACTCTTGTTTGCCGTGCGTACTATTGTGTTCATCACCTGATGCAGTAATGATACAACAGCAATAATAAAAAAAACCTTACCCATTGTTCCCACCCGTAAACAACACAGCACACGCCTACAAGCAGTCGGTTTACTCTTTTTTGAGCTCACACATAACACGATTGCGGAGAGCAATAATCTGTCGACTTTTACGTTTGTTGTAAACCCTAAAGTTCCATGGATATTCCAGTGAAATTGTTTGTTCCGAGATGTCGCTCGTATGAGTGAACGTCGTCACACACTTGTGACAAATGTATTGTCATTTCTTTTTGTTGCTTCGGTCTATCAATGAAAAACGCATGTGTTACTGTTGGATCCAAGGTCAAACGTACAAAGAGCCAGTGCTGGCGAGTATAACGTGCACCACAAGGTGCGCACCTAGTCCGTGACGGCGAGCATGAGAAAAAAACCATTCACCCCGAACGTTAATAGAGGGGTGCCTATGTATTAATCATCGGAATATACATTATTTTTCTGCCGGCATGAGATTTAACGACAGCAACAAACAAGCGCACATTGTTCGGTTAAAACAAATGCCGGAGACGCGGATAACGTGGTGTAGTATTCGCGACGACTGAGAAAATAATAGGCCGGAGACTGTTTCCAGATGTCTGCGAGAGCACATGGCGGTATTTGAAAACGCACTATTGTGAATGTCAATAGCGCATCAGTGTTAAACATTCGACAGTGTAAAACAACAGTGGACGACGATAGTGTGACCTATATCTTGTTATGCCAAGTCAACTAGATTCGGAAAAACGGAAAATAATCAACGGGTGCTTACTTGGCAGGTGAATTCCACACGGGTATCGAAAACGGTCGGCGGTACGTAATGATTGTACGCCGAAAACAAACATTCGGTCAGCAACCGAACGGTAAAAATCGATATTGGCGAAACTGTTCAGGCGCAAACACTGACCGAGTACAAGAACGTCTGGCAGTGAAATACGTTGAGTAAAAAATGACGTAACGTCACCTGACAAAAGATATCTCCAACTGTCTACTTATCGTACGGCAACGTCAGCATTGCCGTACAAGAAGCACTGAGCGTGAGTCGCTTACAAAGCCGAGCCACGACAGTCCGGCAATGAGACAATACCGGCATTGTGTGTGCCCATAATGGCGACGTCGTTTGTATTATTATTATCATCGTCGTCGTTATTATAATAGACAAGTAGGTCGTGGTCAACAAAAAAATATATATAATAATAAAGTCGCTGTGTAATATTATATGTATTTCTTAAGCTTTAAAATATACATTATGCGCTGTGTGTGTGTATTATTAAATAAACAAAGGAATAAACCTGCCGGAATAATAAATAATAAACCTCGGAACAAACACGGTATTATGATAAATGATTTCTCCTTTTTTTTTCCGTATTTTATTATTCTTCCATTATTCGTTTGCGGCGAGCTGGGGAGTCGCGCATTGCTTACAATAGCGGCCATTTTATTCTAGTCGGATACAATAATTGAAAATTATCACTCGGGCGAATGTCATGTCTCGCTTTGGTACTAGTCGCGTGTTATACTTGAAAGGGTTGTAAGTCGAGACTGACTAGATACAAATATCTAAAAGAAACTATGAATATTACGTTGCTATGAAGTTGACAGTGAAAATCGATTTTTTTTTTATTTGGACTAAGGAAAAAATATCCTTTGACAAAAAAGATAATCAACGGGACACTGTAATTATACTTTTGTTGATTTTGTAGAGTACGTTGTCATAATAATCACTTTAATTACATTCAATTATTTTTTTTTATACGAGTAATGAGTTTAAAAATCAAAACTTTTATACCATTAAATTCAATATTGTGCCGTATTTGTGGAGGTTTTTTAATTTTACATAGCACGGGGAAATATTTTATGACTAAATTAATCGTTTAAAATGAGTTAACGCGTTCACAAAAAATAATTAAGAAATTCTTTAGTTGGTCGCCCTTAAGCTAATCGCAAAATATAAATATATACGAGTACTGGGCGCGTATGAGACCGTCTTATGAACGTCTAATGACTGCGGACCGCTCAAACAGGAACTCGATGGTCTCTTCCGGCGATGACTTTGGCAAGCCTCCGGGCAGGCGTACATAAGGCGGCATTACTGATCTAATTTAAAGTGTAAACTCTCACGAACTCGTCGTCCGTCGTAATAATAGTAATAAAAATCATTTTAATACGATATGCAACTGGGCCAAATAAACGGATTGTAATGGCGACGTTGAGGTGTATTATTAACAAATTTATTTTACGATAAAATACGCTTTAATACGACAAGATGCTGACACGAGAGTCGCAGAAAGCGGCGGCGGCGGCGGCAATGCAATCCTCATAAAATACATAGCAACTCCGGATAATATTATACATCATCGACCGACCATACTTTTAATTTGGGATCAGACCAAAGTTCTTTTTCCGCGAGCAATATTGAGCGATAAAAAATTTATGATTAGCAAATATTGTGCTTCGTTTAATTGAAATTTACTATCGAAAAGATTAGTCCCTATTGTTAATAATTGTAATGTATAACACATTTACATATTAATGGCAATAAAGGTTGTGACCTAGCAAGTGGAAATTGATTAGGTATTTAAATTTATTTTTAAGCTAATAATTTGTTCAAAAACTATCTTATTTGTCATAGGCGAAAAAAAATCGGTTTATGAAACTAATAAAAGTAGTCCGCTGCAATGATTTAATAAGTTTGCATTTTTTTCAATCGTGAGACTATAGCAAACAGTTACAGGACATGTTATAGCGTTTATCGCACTCGAGCCGTGAACGCGAAACAATTAAATACCGATTCATTATAATGTACACTCTATGGATGTATTAAACAATTTATAACATCCCACCCCGCCCCCGTATACTCGTCAGATCCAATAATTCCACTAATACACATATATGCGCACAGTGTAAACGCATCAAACATCCCCGGGGGGGAGCTTATTTATGTCAATCCTGCAATAACCCAAAACATCAAACATGCATTTATGCATAATTAATGTGCCGACCACTTTGGACGAACCGGAGGGATAGAGTTGCGAAAAGCTAACCCTCCTGAAGGCGAATCGGCGTGACGAGGACAACACAAACACATAATACGCCGTTGTCATAGGAGGCCATCGGTCATACACATAAATCAAATTTTCCACGGTGAACAAGATGCCAGGTCAGAATATCACCCCTAATTGTATACTTTTTTTTTTTAATAATACTCAGCGGTACGGTTGTTGAATACAACTGATGCAGAAATGAATTTAAGACGAGCACCATTTGTGTCACAATAACGTAAATTAATTAAATTTGTGAATATAAGCAAGAAGAAAATGTATAAAAATATATGAATAACGACGACAAAAGCACAAACATTTGGCCTTTTTTTTCTGGTTATTCACGAGGGGGCAATGCGTACTTTTTTCTCCTTGGTGGTCTCTAAAATAATGGAATGATAACGTTAAGGAATTAATGTCCGACAGACAAGATCTGTAAAGAGAACGTGGTCGATAGAGGGGAGAATAGAAGTCTTTTGAAAAGCAGTTAGTTTAAGTCCGAGAAAAACCCGAGTTCATAATAAAAGGACGACCGCTAGGTAACGGAACGATGTTATACACCTTAGCCGCTCACTGTCACTAATGAAACGTACAAAACAGTATTATCAAAACGCACAGAAATATATAGAATTACGCGCTTAAAAAAAAAAAGTCATAATAAAAATATTATCATGTTATTTCCAGACGACGGAGGGTCCGTTTTGCAGACAGAACGGTCTTTTTGAAGTGCTTTTTTTAATATATCATCGAGACTGAGAATTCACAAATTGCATGGAATTAATGCCGCGTTGGCTTTCTATTCTTCGATAACTGTTTTCAATATTCGCACAAAAATAATAAACTGCGAAGTTAACGAACCATAAAACGATTTTTTTTTTTTAAGAGTATTTATCCGTAGCTATGAAAATACCGTGTCACTAAGCAAGCATCGTTGATATATAACTATTTATAGAAACTTTTTAATATGAATATATTCATCTGAAAAAATTGAAAAAAAAAAAACACTATAGCTTAACGTATTATCACAGAAAAACAACGTCGGTAGTTATTGTTGTGAACATTCTGGGGTCGACTTCACTAAACAACAAAACGATGATGAGGAGGACCGTTTACACGGTGTATCGTATGACTATTGTTATGATAAAAATTATAATTGACTAATAAAGATAATTATTGCATACTAGACAGTATAAACATAAGACAATCGCGTGACATCCGCCGTCGCACTGATAGGTATATTTTTATTGTGCTAACCATTCAATAGCCATAAATATGTTTTAATTTTATATTATTTCTATTGTTACTTGCAAATCGACATTAACACATAAATACGTCTACAATATTGTTTATCCGTGTAAACAGTATGCACTTTCATACAATATTTACATTTGTTAAAAGAAGCTTAATAAAAAAGCTTTGTGTTTACCTTGTTCGGATGATCCTGTTGCGTGAGGAGCTGCTCTCTGAACAGTTGCAACTGCAGAATCATTTCAGACAGTTTTCGTTCCTTTTCCACGATGGTAGAAGTGTCACCTTGTAGATGCTGCAGGAGATCCAGTCCGGGCTGACCGGCGACGTCTTCTCCGTGATCGGGATCGGATTTACTGCAAGAAAAACGGAATACATGTAACAAACAGTACTTGAAAAACATCCCAACAATACGGTAATAAACAGTAAGTCAATATCAATAGAGAATTATCTACAAAAACAATCAATAGCGATTTATATAGTTAAAGTAAACCCGAAATAAAGGGAGTACTCGTATATATTTACTAGGTTAATCCCTCTGCACGTCCACGTATCGACCATAAGACGACGTGGACCCCGCGTATGTGTTTGTATAGTGTTTTATTATTTATTCACAAGACCCTTGGGGAAGTAAGCGGCGACTACCGCCGACCGTACATATGCAATTACCCTTTTTGATGCTGCCAGCGGTAGAACTCCTCTGTATAACGATATCGCATCGGTTTCGCTCGCTACCGCCCGGGCCGCGACCCGCACTTTTGCCCACTGTGTCCTGTACACTTTCTCCCCACACGGTGTTTTGTTTGCTGGAAATTTGTCTCTTGTTCGGCATTTTTTTTACGGGCACCGTACACCGTATATGTTATGTTCGTGGCGCGGGAGAGACGATGCCCTCAGTCCGAGAGTCCCGTAGAGAGTTTTACCGTCAACGCTTTTTATGATGTCGTATGTGTACAATGTCGTTATGTCGCCGGACGCCGCCGCCGTATCGTACATTGTAAACTTTATACGAATAAAGGAACGGTTAAAAAACAGAATGATAAAAACAAAAGGAGAAGCGACCAGGTCCCCGCGGACGTATTTCCGACGAGCATTACGGTCTACTTTGCATGTAACGCGTTTACGGAGATAAAAATAAAATAGACGACAACCGCTACATTTTATAATGTAAGTTTCAAACGACGCGATAAAAAACGTTCTATATGTGTTGAAAACAATAACTTTTATAAAACCGAAATGTTGCGTTGGTCTTGTATTCATTAAAAAAAATTGTAAAATGAAACAACAATAACGTGCTATCCGCAAGCACATGTGTCCCGTCGTCGCACAATAGTGATGACATGTTTATTTGACGACTTGTACTCGGAAAAATACCTTTTATTTTTATAGCGTAAAGTGATTTATTAAAGACGACCAAAGAGAATATTATGTTTATAAAAAAACGAGTGTTTATAAGACAAGGCGAAAAACGATCAATCAGTTGGGAAAAAATTCAGTCAACTTTCACGCGAACCGGTCGCGAAAACATATTGGGCGATCCGAAAAACGGCATTGCTCAGTTGGGATGCATAAAAGAGATAAATGGTCTGTAGCCGTCGCTTGCACACACGTTCACATGTACAGATCATTATAATGGCTCACTCGATAATAACACGATTTAACAATTTTTGTTTTATTATTATTGTAAAATATGATGTGCAGCGTTCGTTCGGTTTTAATTTATAACTTACTAGAGTTGTTCCACGACGGCAACACGTTCAGTTGTCGATATAATAACAATAATTATGCGGCAATTGTGTGTAAGTCTGGTGTGTGTGATTTAGTGGGAATATCGGCTGAGCACGTCGATGGTGCGGCTATTGTTGCAATACACGCCGGTTTTAATATTCTGTATTAACTTATCTTTCGAATTATATTATTATTAAGTATTATTATGACCTTGTTTGGATGCTCGGATCGTGCAAGAAACCGACACAACTAATATGTCTATGATAGTAATAATAATAATAATATTAATGCAATGAAATAATCCGGCGGGCGAAGGTGGCGGATGGAGTGTCTGTACGTTAAAATCCATCGAATAAACACAGTCAAAAGTCTACAAGTACAAAGTTGTAGTTGAACTAATTGGCAATCAACGAGATCTGCAAATGCTCGAAATCATTACTATACGCATCGTAGAGGTCTAATGTTTTCATTGTTACGAGCCCGTAAAAATATTCATATAATAATAGCAACGAGTGGCCGATAACGCCGAGAGATATATAAAAAGTGAAAAAATAATTAACCGACTTGTTTGTATTATTATTATTTGATTAATAATTCGCCTTTGCTGCTCACCACACAGAGTCATTGCGGTCATCGGCAAAAAACGGTACGCTCGTACATAATCAAATAACAAGAATATTAATTCAACAATAATAATAATAATAATACCTGAGCTTATCACACAACGCAGATTACGACCAGACGACTCCGAGCACTACAAAACCACTGCACAGTTCTAAAGCCGAGTGAATAATTACTACAGGCATCATTAAGTGAAAATAAATAAGCCATTAAAAATCCCGACTCTTATCGAAGTGCCGTTGGACGAAAGTACAAAACGTATTCAAATACAGACTACAATGTAATCGCACACAGTCCTTGTCCATTATACGGTTTTCAGAGCAGCAAACAGAATAATTGTAGTAATTGTTGTTCGAAATAACAATAACAATGCTATTATTGTATTTTCCTACAAAATATTCGTTTCTGTGTTAGAAATAACCGCATTTCGTTANAAATATTCGTTTCTGTGTTAGAAATAACCGCATTTCGTTATGATTGTGCAGAGCTTAAGGTAAATCGGACACATGTCGGCGACTATGCAAATTCGGTCGATTCGCTCGAGTGCAGCAAACAAACGAAAGTATCGATGAAGATGATTTAACGCGCGTGAGTCTCTCGAATAGCACCTACCAGCACAGTTTGTTTGAATCGTGGGGACTTTTGTCTAAAAATATCGAACAATAAACAGACGATATGACTGTACTAACGTAACGAAAAAACAG